GCTTAACCAACTGAGCCACCCAGGCGCCCAAGAGAATGATCTTTTTTTAAATGTAAATTACATTAAGTCATTCTTCTGTTCCAAACCTCATATTTGGGCTCCCATTTCTCTCAGGTTAAAAGCCAAAGTCCTCACAATGGCCAACAAGGCCTGATGTGACATGGGCGCCCTTCCCTCTCTGACTCAGTTTCTTTCGCTCTGCTTCAGCCACACTGGCCTTTTCCCTGATCCTTGAACATGACAGACACCATTCTGTCCCAGGGCCTTTGCACCGACTATTCCCTCTGCCTGAATGCTGTTCCCTCATACAGCTGCATGGCAACTCCCTCCAGTCTTACCTCTTAGTGCCACTTTATTCAAAATGACAAATTCCACCCTCCCCATCCTGCTTTTCTTCCATAGCAACACCACCTTGTAATGAATGCACTATGTAATTCACTTGTTTACTTACGTTTATTGTCCACCCCTGCTGGAATATAAACTAAACATGAGGGCAGGGATCTTTGTTTTGCTCACTGATGTACTCCAAGGACCTAGAACCTACCTGGTGCTTCCTAGGTGCTGAGTAAGTATCTGTGAGTGAGGGAGTGAATGTACTCAGTGACTATTAAGCCATTACCCAGCCATTAGACACAACACAGGAGAAAAAGAATAGGATATATGAAAATACTCACGCAGTGGTAAGTTTTAAAAGACCACGAAATAAGATGTAGAATATTTTGTTTGTGTTGAAAATGATGTACATATGTATTTTTAAAAACTGGAAGGCTATACACTGAGGCGGTTTGCTTGTCTCTATTTTCCTATTTTCTACAATGAAACAGTACCGCTCTTACAGTAAGAAAACAAAACAAAGTTATGGTCAGAAAAGAAGAACACAGGGCACAGGCGTGAGGAAGGGACAGCTATAGAGGGCACGGGGAGCTTCTGAGGGTGAGGGAACTGGTCTCTGTCTTCACTGTGGTCACACGGGGCGACACTGTTCTGTTCTGGGCCTGGGTCCCCCCGTCTGGCAGCACTGGGGTACGGAGCCGGCTGGGCTCAGAGGCCCCTGAGATCACATAAGCCACTGGCCCACATAAGCCCCACGTAAGCCACGATTGGTGATTGCACTGTTATTTGTCAGAGTCTAAGCACTGTGCACATAAAGGGGGAATTTATTGCATGTAAACTGTACTTTTAAAAAGAAAGCACAGACTGAATGAAAGTCACCATGGGTGCCAAGTCAGAGCCTCGGGGGTGCAGCTCCTCCTCCCCAAAAGTGACAGCCTGGGGAGCCCCGCTCGGAGACCTGTCACTTACATCAGTTCCCCGGACTTCAGCAAGCAGATTTCGGCATCCTGTCCCAGCGGCATGTCTTCAGTGTCCTCAGGGGTTAGCGAGGTTGACATGGTGTCCCTGAAATGCCACACACAAGAACACACAGCCATTTAGCCATCGGTACGTGGAGTCCCACGTCCTGGGTCCCCAGTCTTGGAGTCACGTAGCCAACCTCAGAATGCACGGGATCCTTCAGTCCCAGAGGCCGTGACAGAAGGTCCGGCAGGCTCTCCAGGTAGGGGCACAGGGGCTGGGGCCGAGCAGGCAGGATGGGGAGAATACAACAGGGCTGCCATGACTTCCCCAGCGTCTTTCCAGGGGCCGTGCGGAGGGCCTGCCCACCACTCAGACGGGCCACCCTCCTATCCCACGCCAGCTGAGCGCTGTCAGCAGCAGCCCGGGGTCCTGCCTGGCCGTGACTAGCCAAGCCTGCTCTGGCTCATCTCCAGGGAGCAAGGACACACACCCAGGAAACGGCGTGGGCGAAGAGGGAGCAGTGGGACAGAGCCATGGACAGAGAGTGGACCTAAGCCACATGGCCTCTCTCGCTCACAACCCACGGTTGGCTGCACCACGAGCCATCTCTGCTCAAATATAATGAGCATGCTTCCCACCGTGCTCCGTGGAACCCAGGGCCAGGGGCGGAGGGCACCACACGCTCCCTCTGAGAGAGCCCCGGCACCGTGCAACGTAAGTTCGAGGCTCTAGGAAGCCCTGCAGCAAAGACATCTACTGGACTTGAACTCCAGCGTTCCGTGTGTTTATTCCATCATAGAACATTTTAAACTCCTACTGGACTGCTTACTCTGGGAAAGGCAGACTGCAGTCCCCCTCCTTCACTGACAGGGACATGGGGGCCCAGTCAGCTCCTGAGACGCAGGCCAGAGCCCCACACCTGGCTCAGCCAATGGCTTGTGTGATCTCAGCGGCCTCAAGCCCAACCAGCTCAAGTGCCCAGGTCTGCTCAGGGGAAACTTAGTCCAGAAAAGAAGAACCATTTGCCCCACGGGCAAGTGTTAATAAGGAACATCTCTCACCTAGCACAGCTTCTTCCCCAAATGTCGCAATAACCCTCTTCTCAACTGCCCTGAGGGGCGCTCCCCAGATGTCTCTGGGGTGAGGTCAATGTGAACCAAACTGCCCCCCTCCCTAGGTACCCCTTGGGCTCTCACCAGCTTGGCCCTGGGGACACTCGCTCGACCTCTGAGGCCCCGAGGGAACTCGAATGAACGCAGTCCAGCCCCACCCCATGCACTGCTGTGCCAAGAGATGTCCCCCCAGGTCAGCGCTGTGCAGGACACCGATGCAGGCATGGCATACACCTCCCCCTGCCCCGAGTCAGCAACACACACACACACACACACACACACACAAACAGCTGGAAGAAGGGGGTCTCAGCACACACAGCGGCCCGGGCAAGGTCGGTGGCCAGCAGCAAGCATCCAGACCTCGTGCTCAGATGGCTCCGCCTCCACCACCACCTTCACACCCATTTGGGCACCAAGTTCTTGTCTCTTTCGGGTGTTCTCTCCCCTAGGCTGAGTGGCTTTTGGAAGTGCAGAGTGCAGCTGTGACTTGGGCTGGAAAATGACAGTGCTGTCTGGGCTGCATGGCATGCCGCCCACGGCCATGCCTGGGATGGGGCTCTGCAGGATTCCCAGCTCAGGATCCAACCTAGTATCACCTCTGGGCCAGCGGAAATTCAAGCCAGCCCAGTGGCCACACCCTAATGCTCACAGAGCTTCTGCCTGGAGGTGGCAGCTGTCACCTCTGCTTGGGAGGGATCCCCAGCACATGCTGCTCACATTTCACTGCCAGGAGAGTCCCTGACCTCAACGGGGTGTACAACCTGCCTATGGGGGAGGCTGCAGACGGTCTACCACAGTCCACTTCCTGCGTCTGAGCCCGAGGCTCCCCGCTCTGTCGGTGGAACCTGAACGTCCACCTGAGCACCCAGGGGCTCTCTGCATGGCGACAGAAAGGGGGAGTTCAGAGTCGGCAAAATTCAGTGAGTCTCCCCTCAGCCTGTCCTGGCTGTCACTCGGGTGTGGGGGCGGGAAGATCTGCCACGCATCACAGTGCACCTGCATGAAGAGCACCGTGCCGTGAGTCTGGGGGATGCGACCGGCAGCTTCACCAGGGGCCAGTACACAGGCATCTGCAGCCCGCTCCCACCCTGCCTGCCCCTCCCTCCCACTCACCCCCGGGCCCTTTCTGTCACAGCTCTTGTGACAACGGGCCGTACTTATCTCTTTGGGGTGCTCTCTCCCCTAGGCTGAGAGGCTTTTGGAAGTAGGAGCTGCACCTGAGCTGTCCCTTGCCCTACGGGACCGGCACGCAGCGGGTTGGCCACTGCCCTTTGCAGGAACCAAACAATGTATGTGCCACTTGCTGAGAAGTATGTGGAAATTCGGAAGAGGGCAGAGGAATGCTGACAAAGTCAAAGAGAGAACCGAGGCCGGATCCCTGAAGGATGAGGACCCTGAGTCACGCGTGGAGTGACGGATGCGGGGTCAGCAGCAGCATGCCCGCTGCTAACTTACAAGGCCTCTCTGCCCAGAGGGGGACAGGTACTGCCCGGGGAGAGGCCTTCGTCTTCTTGGGAAACCTCTGAGCACAAGATGGGGCGTCACTGGGCCGGCCCTGACATCACACCTGCTCTCCACCATTTAGCTCCCCTGTCCCTGCCTTGTCCCCATCTGCTGTGGTGCTGAGGCCGCTGGGGGTGAGACTCTGCTCTCAGGGTGCCACTGTGAGGGTGTGGCCGGCACAGGCTGCTAGATCACCAGACACCCACTGGCACCCCGCTGCCCGGCCGGGGGCTGTCTGGGCACAGTCCCCGTCAGCCCACGGTAAGTGGGGGAGCCCATCTTCATGAACACCCTGCCCTTCAGGGGCTGAGCGCCGGGAACCCTGAGCAGTGGGGGCTCCATCTATCTAGCCGGAGCTCCCTGGGGCTCCAGTGGGCAGGAGAGGCCGTGTGGCTCTTGGTGGGGCCGTCACTCCAAGGCGGTTCCAGTCTTGGTTTTATGACTAATTGTGACTCTGGGTGCCCTTCCCTCCTCTGAGGCTGTTCTCCCTTCTCTATATGGGAGAAGGTGATGGAACCAGATGGACTCCGGGCTCCGCTCTGAGCTCCAGGCTTGGCTGGAAAAGACTGTAGGTTCCGAAGGACTCCTCGGCCTTCTCCGCGCTTCCCAAGGAAGGTGCAGCAAGAATACGCCTGACCCACCTGCTGCCACCGAGGGCAAGCCTGGTCCCTCGCTGTTTTCTTCCTCCCCACCCCTCGACCTCCTCCTTGCCCACCTCCTTCCGTGGCTCTCGCGACCACTAGCTTCCACATCCCCCATCCTTCTCCCAGGAGAAACAGAATCATAGAACGTCAGTGTGAGAGGCTGTTCAAGGGATCAACCCCCCCCCCAACCCCCTGCCACTTGACGGACACGGATACGGGGGTCCGAGGAGCCAAGATGGGCCCAAGGCCACTCAGGCCTGCCTCAGGTTACTTGTCTTCATCCTTGGGCAAACTGCAAATACCGTACAAGAGAAAGATAAATAACATCCGACAGAACAAACTCTGAAGCTGTAGTTGGTTCTCTCGCTTTTCCAGCATCCAGGATAAAAGATGTCCTAACCCGTCACTGCCTCTCCTCCTCCAGCTCCCCCTTTCTGGCCACGACTATAGACAAGCCCGGATGACCTGTGAGTACGTGCTTCCCAGGGTAGGCCCCCAGCCCCTCCCGGCCCTGGCTGAGGCCCTGCACGGGGGGCGGGGGGAGCAGAGTGAGGCGGGCATGGGTGGGTGATGCCATCCCAAGGATAAGGGTTAGGGGCCCAGAGGTTTCTTCTCAATGGCTCTTCAAACTGTGGGTTGTGACCCATTTAGTGGGTCATGAATCAACTTAGGAAGTTACGACCCACATTAGAAGAAATTGAATAGAAAACGCCAAAGCGACAGGATACTGCGTGTTGTCAGGGGCTCTGGCTTTGCCTTCGTGTCTACAAGCGCACATCCGTGGACGGTCAGTTAAAACTCGTATCTTTCCGTGGGACGCAGTGGAAGAGCATCTCCCTTAGTTCAGAGGAGGGCAAACAAGCTTGGGAAGGACAGGGAACAAAAGCAAGGCCGCCAGGGGGCACCCTCTCTCCTGCCAGCACCATTTCCTTTGTTGCCACTGGGGTGTTTTCCTGCAAAGTTGAGACACATTGATTGCCCACAGTGCCCTTCCTTCCTCCCCTTGCTCCGGCCATGGGAGCCTCCTGCTGGCGATGGTGACCCCTGATGGCATGTCACCCTTTCCTGCTGAGCTTCCGTCCCTGAGCCTATGGTCAGGAGAGCTGAACTTGTCTTGAGGCGTACATGTCTGTTTGTTAACTCCTTCCACCCTCTGGGGCTGGTCATCTTGGCACCCCCGGAGATCCTGCCCTGCACACTGTCTGTGCTCAATCAACATCCAGATTGTGTGCCCCACGGAGAGCTGGCCTTCTGTCCCACATGCCCCCACACACAGGACATGCCCAAGGCTCCATTTGAGAACCAAGTGAGAATAAAGTGGTGTCCACAGACAAGACAGATGGTGAGGAAGTCCCCGGCAGTGCAGTCCAGGGGTCCGCGCCTGCCTGGATGAGGGGTCATGGGGGAGCGGGGTCCCCCCACTTGGTCTCTACGGCTGGATTCTACAATAGCTTCCTCTCACAAATCAAAATGCCTCAGCTGCTTTTTCATGTAATTACTGTACAACCTCAGTCCTGCAGACTGCCCAGGGGCAGATCCTTTGGCTGCTGGGATCGGCAGAAGAAGAAAGGATGCCTAAAAAGCCCCCATGGCCCGAGCGTCTTGCCGACTGCCTTCCTCAGAGGTCTCCACCTGCTCCTCGGCCTCGCTAAGCAGCTCAGTGAGAAAGGCTGCTTCCCCCGATTACCCAGGGTCCCCAGGCCAGCTTCTATCTGTGGTCAGCAGACGACTCTACGATGCGCTGCCCAATTCAGCCGCCACTGGCCTCACGGGGCCGCTTGAACTCAAATTCATCACAGTTTGGCTCCTCGGCGGCACCGGCCACACCTCAGGGGCTCAAGGG